ACTTTTGGAATACCTTAGCCAATTTATATGACGTTTTGCCCGTATAATAGTAATAAACAATGTTTAATTTTAAATGTTACGCCGAAATTCGCAAGAATTAATCTAAAATCGAGCACAGATCAAAGGCGAAAAATCTTGAAAAGAGCAGAAAACAGCTTCCTTCGACATGAAATTAAGAACCTGTATGCCAAAAAGGAACGCACAGCTACATTCATTTAGAACTAGCGGAACTCCTTCCTGTCAGCACGCTCCTGGAGATATTAGATGAAATAAAGTAAATATATGGGACAAAAATACAATAAATTAAACAAAAAACTCGATGACCTCAATAGAAAGCAAAACATCACACAGGTTGTACAACACAGCGAAATGCCTTTCCATTCCAGATTCGTAAACTTGACTAAGGTTTCCATTAGCAAACAAGAGACAGAAATATTGGAAACAGGTCTGAAACACAACATAGAAAATTATGATAACAATAAAGAGGTAGAGCACACTATTGTAGACGCGGAAATGGCCATATCATTACTACCAAGCGAGGATCAAGATCATGCAAGACACATATGTAGACGTATAATTAAAAAAGCATAAAATCCATGGAGAAGAAAAAACTAAGAGACGAAAATAAAACTGTCAAAGGGCTAAAGAAAAAACTCAAAACGAATAAAGTAATCACAAAAAAAGCAGACAAGGGGAACACAACGGTAATAATGTACGAAAAAGAATATAAAGAAAAGACAGAGCAACTAATCAAAGAGACAAATTGTCGGATGATGAGAAAGGACCCAACCGAAACTGGAACTGCCCAATAAATACACAATTACGAATACAGCGGAGTTAATTGAAAGGATGAAATCGCTAGAAATACCCAAAGAACCGAAATTTTTATCATTTGATGTTAAAGGATCTTTACCCATCGATACCAACGGCAGAAATAGTTACCATCTTGACTGAAACTTTGATAGAAAAAACAGACAAGAACGTAGCAACGGAAATCGTGAACACATTGAGGGTAACACTAGACCAAAACTACTTCAAGTTTAATAACAAAATATATAGAAAAACTAACGGGGTAGGGATGGGTAATCCCACATCTGCAATTTTAATGGAAGTGTTCATGCAACATTTAGAGGAAAAATATATGACGGAGCTGACAACAAGCCTGGGAGTAAAGTTCTACGCAAGATACGTCGATGACATCATATGTCTTGTAACGGGAGACAAGGGAGAACAAATTCTAGGCTATCTCAACGACCAACACACGAATATAGATTTCACTATGGATGAGGAAAACGAAGGCAAAATAAACTATTTGGACATAACAATTAAAATAAATAAGGTTACCAACAAATGCGAATTCGGGATATATAGAAAGCGCACGGCCACAGACACGATAATACACAATACTTCAAACCACCCTCAAAAGCACAAAAATGCAGCCTTTAAGCTGGGATCCCACGATTGCCGCAATACACCAATTATTGCCTCATTTTATGCCCCAATCGTGTGATTTCACAATACATTGACTCATGCGGCAATAGAGGCCGATATTGTGCTTACTGTGCCCAATCAAATACGGCCCGTGTGCGGCAATCGTGTGATAGCTCGATTGGCAATCATGGGGCAATGAAAATTTCAAAATTGCGGCAATATTTATTGTATTCTTGTGCGGCAATTGAAGTGAACAATACACAGCAATATTTAGGCTGTTTATTAATAATTTACTTTTTTGCTTCCTTCTGTGTCCAAATATCACTGAAATTAATATCCTTGTTTTCGGAAGCAACATAACTTTTAATTTAATTTGTAGTGAAATTATAATTTTTCTTGAAGTCCGATAACGCAATCTTTGCCGCGATATATACCACCACAAGCAAAACTCATACGAGAAGAATACGAAAGGTATTTTATGTCACCAAATGGCGGACTGCCATGACAGTATACATTTATTAAAAAAAAAACTTAAAAGTTCAATACAGCCCACGACAAAGCAGTAGAACCTCAACATTTTGACCAGTCTTGACTATTTTTCTTCTACTTATCTAATCTTCATTATTTTATTACATTATTTTATACAAAAATTATAAAAATTTCTTAAACTTTTGAACACAATCCCACGGTTTTTAAATTGGATTTCTAGAAAAAAATGGTTATTTAGTTTTGTAGCTCATTAAAATTTAGTACAATAAGGTGGAAGTGAGAAGTTGCTCAAAGATCCTCTTGATTTTTCAGAATATTTTTAGCTGACGGTATTATGCACTTTCTTCTCTGTAAATTACTTTATAAACTGCATAACAAAATTTTTTCTAGAAACCCAAATTAAGAACCATTGAATTGTGATCAAAATTTTAAGAAATGTTTATAATTTTTGTATAAAGTTTGAAATTTGGACTTATGTGGCTTTTACTAGACAATGAGCTATAGTTTTATAGGAAAAAATTAACATTAAACAACAGAAGAAAAGCCTGATCAAAATGTTAAGGTACTATCTTTTGTTGCGAGCTGTACATATAATTATAAAATTTCATTCCAAACATAAATTATGTAAATTCGCAGCTTTCATTTAAACAAACATAACTATTTTGTACCAATTTTACTTGTAATGAATAAAAAAACCTCTACGTAACAATATTAAAAAGAAAACTGTTGCAACTTGAACTCCACATAGCACGTTGCAGTTATCGTAGAAAAATAAAAAAACTATACAATCAAACTTCTAAATAAATGCGTGAGTTTTCGTTGGGCACAAGTTTTTGCTTATTTTCTTTCAAACAACAACAAATTTGCACAAAATGAGCCCGCAATATACAAATCAGATGCAATTGATTTATTTTTTTTTTTAGTAAGAATACGCCATTTTTACACAACAGAGAAAAAACAGAATTTAGAGGTCAGCGCAACACTTTATGGTCACAATTGCCGCATGCTCGAACAATCGTGTGAAAAGTTTGGGGCAATTATTGTCACTATATTGCTTTTCGCCAACTTACGGCAATGAGAATTGTATAAAAAGAGCCAACCGTGTGACTGTACAGAATTTGATTGGGACAATTTTTTTATTGTGCTCCAATACAGCACAATAAAAATTGTTCCAGATTGGTCCATTTGCGGCAATCGTGGGATCTCAGCTTTAGACATCTAATAACCAGGCTTGAACGAACCCTATTGGAAAAAGAAGCTTACAGCAAAGAACTTAATACGATATTCGCAATCACGGAAAATAATGGATACAGAAAGAGCCTAGTAAACAAGATAAGAATAGAAACAAAAAAGAAGAAATCAAATAAGAAGGAAAATAATGAAAAGGCTTCGGCAGTCTTGACTTATACGGGCAAAACGTCATATAAATTGGCTAAGGTATTCCAAAAGT